GTGTGTGTGTGTGTGTGTGTGTGTGTGTGTACAGATTTTTGCTTCATGATGGGTACAATTACTGACCATTTCCGCGGTACACACAGCCAGGTGAGGTTAGGGTTTGGGTCAGGTGTGTAGTCTACCTGGAAGGTTCTGGTTGGCTGTAGAATTGACAGGAAATGAATGGAAGCCAATGCAAAGTCCCCATGAGGATAGAACAACAAACGTGTGTGTGGGAGGTCTGGAGCAGAGCGCTGTGTTATTAGGAGAGATGAGACTGTCAGTGGGCGACCATTGATACTGCTGGATTATTTTTATGGAACATGGAAACTTTTTCAGTGGGCGACCACACCCCCTCCCCCTCGAACGATTGGTCGCACCAGTGCGACCGGACATTTTTTTTAGTCGCACTTTCAGGAAATCTGGTCGCACTCTAGAGCCCTGTTAAATGTCTTTTAGACTAACATGTCCCTCAGACCGACAGCTCTTGTAGTTAATACATGAATGTAATTAATCAAACAGCTATAATGAAACAATTATTTGCTCTAAAATCAGCTGTCTTTATGCTGCTTCTCTCAGCGTTCACTCTTGTCTTTAAATCTGTACAATCTGAGCTCGTCTGAACAAAAATAACTTGTGCAAAGGGTTCAAAATGGAAAAAGAGCAGCTTTAAGTTAATAACAGAAGTCTGTCATTTTAGTGTTTTCAATTGAGGGGCTTTGATATATTTATTTGAAAAAATTATGGCAGAGGAAGTTCTCTGCACAGAAAAAAATAATAATTTTACTGTTTTTTTAACCAAACAGACAAGTTTCTCCAGTAAAATTGTGTAATTTAAACACCTGGTTATATTTATAAGATATAATGATTAACTACAGGCACCTGAAGCTGACTCAGAGAACTGTGATTTTAGAAAAAAAAATAAGTCAAATGTAGACATGTGTTTAAGAGACCCCCCCCCCCCCTCCTCCTCCTCCTCACTCGCTGCGGTGCACTCCATCCGCGTGATTAATACTGATTTTTTGCGCAAATGACAGATATTTGATGCTCATTAAACAAGTAACCACCTGAAGGGTTGACATGTATGAAGTCCCGGGCAGGTCTGACCCACGTTGCATGTGTACAGGTGGACAGGTGTCCAGGTGTACATGTGGACATGTGTACAGGTGTACAGGTGGACAGGTGTCCAGGTGTACATGTGGACATGTGTACAGGTGTACAGGTGGACAGGTGTCCAGGTGTACATGTGGACATGTGTACAGGTGTACAGGTGGACAGGTGTCCAGGTGTACATGTGGACATGTGTACAGGTGTACAGGTGGACAGGTGTCCAGGTGTACATGTGGACATGTGTACAGGTGTACAGGTGTACAGGTGGACATGAGCAGCAGCTGCGGTCAAACTGCCCCTCTCTTTAAAACCAGTCAGCTGATCTGTCGCAGCTTTGTTCTGCTCGTGAACACAGTGTTACGGAGGAAATGCTGCGAGGTGCTTTTAGAAATACTGTATAATATATATAAAATACGATGTACTACTATTACGTAATCTTATTTTAAGATATCAGGGCATCTTAAAATAAGAGATCGTCGTGAATGCGACACTTATGAATCGCTCTGGCTAAAACACAGCGCAACCACAAACACGGACTCTGTGCATTTTGGATGATAATAATTGTAACGTAACATAATATAATGAGAGGAAACAAGTCATAGTGTGAGAGCAGGTGCATTTTATCACCACCAAGGACAGGTCGCACAAAATGTGTCTTCTGCTGTGGCGTATGTTAAATCTGATATACAACTTACATGTTTACAACAATAAAAACTAAACTACTTGCGTGTCAGCTTAGCTTGCTAGCTTGAAATCTTACCTCGAGGGTTACGACACTCTGGAGCTGAGGCGGCGTTGCTGGTGTGGAGGGAGTGGAGACAAGAAGCGAGTTCAAAGCTGATGCGTTTGATTTTGTTGCAGCTGCAGATCCTCTTAGCAGCTCTGGTACAGATTTGGAGATGTTTTCCATCAGTCTGTAAATATAATCCTCACGCCCTCGTCTCCTGCGGGGAAGAAAGTACACAGCGCCTTGCCCGTGGCCRTGACGTCACTCCCCTGCTCCGGGGTTGTGAATATAGACCTTTTATTTAAAGGCTAAATAAGTCATCCCCACTGCCACCGTGTGGGGGCACCAGAGACTTCACTAGTGTTTTATGTACCTCTATGATTGAGAAGTCATTTTAATTTTGTTACATGTTTTGCGGGGCGGGGTGTGAAAACGAAAAAGCAATTTCTTCTTTGTTTTCTTTGTAGTTGTGTCACACTTTGAGCAGTGTTGAAGATGAAAATGGAAGCAAAGTTTGAATGACTGATTTCTAATTTTATTTATGAGTCAAAAAATGCAGTTTTGACTTTGAAATGAAAAAGCATTTCTGCTAATGCATTATAATTTTCCGATTTGACTTTTCAAAATGAATTTTGGTCACTTTTTACCAGGACATGTTTTGAAAATTAAATGTCAAAGTTTGTTTTATTGAACATTTTAATTAATTTACACTTTGAGCAGTCTTGAAGATGAAAATGGAAGCAAAGTTTGGATGATTGATTTCTAATTATATTTATGCATTAAAAAATGCAGTTTTGACTTTGACTTGTCTAAAAGAATTTTGGTCACTTTTTACCAGGACATGTTTTGAAAATTAATTGTCAATGTTTGTTGTATTTAACATTTTAATTAATTTACACTTTGAGCGGTCTTGGAGAAGAAAATGAACATACAGTTTGGATTATTTATTTATAATTTTACTTATGAGTCAAAAAAATTCAGGTACATGTTGAAAATGAAACAGTATTTCTATTAATCCATTTTAATTACGATATTGTTACATCTTCACTTCCATACTGTAGTGTATAGTGGTTCTCAGGCAGCCCAAATCAAGAACTAACAAATGGAAAATTCATTGGCCGGACCTTTATTCAGATAAATTCTAAATGTATCCATACATCCATCCATTTTCTGTACACGCTTCTTCCTTTTCAGGGTCGCGTGGGTCACTGGTGCCCATATCCAGCAGTCACAGTGCGAGGGGCGGGGTACACCCTGGACAGGTCGCAAGTCCATCACAGGGCCACACATAGAGACAAACAAGACAAACAACCATTCATGCTCTCACTCACACCTAGGGACAATTTAGAGTTATCAATTAACCTAACAGTCATGTTTTTGGTCTGTGGGAGGAAGCCGGAGTACCCGGAGAGAACCCACGCATGCACAGAGAGAACATGCAAACTCTACCCAGAAAGGTCCCCGGCCCGGGATTTGAACCGGTGACCTTCTTGCTGAGAGGCATCAGCTCTACCAACTGAGCCACCGTGCCGCCAAATTCTAAATGTAATCGTTTTATTTTGTCATTCAGCCTGTTTTATTGATAATGTACTGATATTTTATAGAAGTTTTACTGTTTTAATAATGTTGTGTGATTGTTTCTGTGTTTGTGTTTCTATTTTCTTTCCACCTGCTGCAGGTAAGTTTTACCCAAGGGGACAATTAATGATTTGATGATGATGATTTATTTAGATGTGGCGGCACGGTGGGTCAGTTGGTAGAGCTGATGCCTCTCAGCAAGAAGGTCGCCGGTTCAAATCCCAGCCCGGGGACCTTTCTGGGTAGAGTTTGCATGTTCTCTCCATACATGCGTGGGTTCTCTCCGGGTACTCCAGCTTCCTCCCACAGAACAAAAACATGACTAAACAGACTAAGTCTATAACTATTTTAAGACCAGACTGTGCAAAGGACTTAAACCAATTCAAAAAGTATTTTCAGTCTGGTACTGGCCTTAAGTCTTGTCTGCGAAACCGGCTCATAATGTGTCATTATATGTCTTTTTCTGCTTTCTGTGGGTGTACCAGCTCACAACAATTGGAAATTCATATCTTGAAAGGCTTTGAAAGTCGCTGTTAGTCTAAAGTTTATTCTCACATTGTCAGTTATAATAAATGTTTGTGTTGTTGCAGGTTGTACGCAGTGTTTACACCAGTAAAATCATCAGTAGTCACAGGGACCTCATCGCTTTGGTGTTTTTTGGCACAGAACAGAGCAAGAACCCCAGGAACTCTTTCAAACATGTCTATGTGTACCACGACCTTGATGAACCTGGTGAGATGTTTCTTCCTTCAAACAAACAAACAAACCAGAACTTGTATGATGAAATTCATGTTTAGATCAAATTGATTCAGCTGTGTACGTCTTTGTCATGTTTTATTTAATTATATTATGAAAACAGCTCAAAAAATGCATGAGCAAAGTCGTCAATGCAAGGGGAATAATGAGAATAGTTGGGGGCGTTTTTGTTAATCAGAAAATGTTTTATTATATAAGTATTTTGTTACAAATGTTCTTTTCTTTCTATTGTATTATGCCAACCACACACACACACACACACACACACACACACACACACACACACACACACACACACACACACACACACACACACACACACACACACACACATCCTTGTACTTCATCAAACTGAGGCCTTTGAGTTGACTTCCATTCATTTTTGTAACTGTATTTATGCCTAACCAAGTCCATCCGTCCATTTTCTTCTGCTTATCCGGGGTCGGGTCACTGGGGCAGCAGCCTAAGCAGAGGCACCCAGACTTCCCTCCAGGAGGCATCCTAACCAGATGAACCACCTCAACTGGCTCCTCTGGACGTGGAGGAGCAGCGGCTCTACTCTGAGTCCCTCCTGGATGACTGAGCTTCTCAGCCTGTCTCTAAGGGAGAGCCCAGACACCCTGTGAGAACTGGAGATCAGGATCTGATGAAGCCAATAGGACCACATCATGCAAAAAGCAGATGATGGCTTCCCACAGGGCTGCGTACTGAGCCCCCTGCTGTACTGTCTGTACACCCACGACCGCAGCCCGGCACACAACAACAAACTCATTGTCAAGTTTGCTGATGACACCACAGAGGTTGGACTCATATCTGAGGGAAATGAGGCAGCATACAGACAGGAGATCCTGGAGCTGACATCCTGTTGTTCAAGGAATAACCTGACCCTAAACACCAAAAAAACCAAGAAGGTCATTGTTGACTTCAGGAAAGTCAGCAGCAATCTGACCCCCCTCTACATCAACGGTGTGTGTGTAGAGAGAGGGTCCATACTTTCCTGTTTCTGGGCGTCCATATCAACGCCAACCTCACCTGGACTGAAAATACCACAGCGGTCATCAAGAAGGCTCAGCAGAGGCTACACTTCCTGAGAGTCCTTAGGAAGCACAACCTGAACTCCGACTTGACCTTCTACAGATCATCAATAGAGAGCCTGCTAACATGACAGTATGGTACGGCAGCTGCACCCTGATGAACAGGGAGAGGTTCCTGCCCTCTCCCCTCCATCTCGGACATTTACTCATCGCTGCCTCAGTAGAGCTGAGCAGATCACCAAGGACAGCTCCCACTCAGGCTCTGAACTGTTTGACTTGTTGCCCTCAGGAAAGAGCTGCAGGTGCATCAGAACAAGAACAGATTCAAGAACAGCTTTTTCCTGAAAGCCATCACCTTACTGAACTCTCACATGCACTGACTCTTGATTCACAATCAATGAGGAACTCACCTACTGTGAAATAAATACATCTGTGGGACACAGGCCACTTCATTTTGTAATGATCACCTGCAATACCAGCACAATCCATATACCTCAATATACAAAATGTGAAATATTTAAACTAGGGTTGGGCAATATTGGCAAAAAAATTAATCACGATTAATTGTGGTATTTAGCCGATAACGATTAATTTGAAGATTAACCCCCCGGAGTCCCTGTACACCTTTATGTCCTAGTCACATGACCAATTTAGTGGGAAAGATTTTCTTTTCATAAAATCTGTTCCAAATTGTGTCAAAATCACAGACTGACAGCTGGGGGGGCAGCAGGAGAAAGACCCCGCTCTCCCCAGAGACACTTTCCAGCTCGTCCTGGGGGACACCGAGACGTTCCCAGG